CCTATTTATCTGTGTAAGAGGATTTTTGTAACCGATAAGTAGTTGTTGTTCTTGATCATCTTATCTCTATTATTATTATTTTTGTTACTATTTCTTTCATTATTAGTATTATTATTATTATTATTACTTTTTTATATCAGTTTTATTGCTATTGTTTTTTTTATTATTATTATTGAAGAGATGAAGGGAGAGATTATAATGACAGACAGACAGACAGACAGACAGACACACACCCCCGTAAGACCATACAAGGTGGTTACCGTGGCGGCGTTAAGAGGCAGGTCAAAAGTTCAAGGTCAAGTCTATGTATTGAGGCGGACCTACTGTATTGTCCACTTAAGTCTTTTCACGACCCAATCTAGTTCTTTTTTATGCCCAATTTGTTTTGTTTTTTTGTTGTTTTTTTCTGTAATTTCCCCCTTTTTTTTTCTTTTTTCCAATTTCTTGTTTTTATCCATTTTTTTTTTTACTTTTAATGTTTTTCTTCCTGTTTTTTTTATTTTTTTTACCAATATAGTCTTTCTTTCTGTTGTTTATTTCAATGTTTTCTTTTTCGAGGATTTTATTCAGTCTCCCATTCTTTCTTTCAATCTCCTTTATTTTATTGCTTTATTTTTCTCATCACCTTCAGTAATCGTCAGGTTAAAGCGTCTAAATATAAACAAATGATATAAATTTTAATACAAATTGGCAGTATTAAAACGTGCTTGCTTTGATATGTACGTGATATATATACACACACACACACACACACACACACGTACGTAATATAATGCCGACTTAACAGAACATTACACCATGTTTGGAGACTCTTGGACTGTTTGGAATTTATTCACTATATAAATACTGGTGTTGGAATTTTTGGCCCGTTATATACCTGTAATATATGACTGGTGGGGTATTTTTTTCCATATGGGTCTTTTTCCTTATGGGTCTTATTTTCCTTATGGGTCTTTTTTCCTTTGGTCTTTTCCAGTGTTGGGTATTTTTTTTCCTTGTTGGGTCTTGTTTACCTTGTTGGATCTTATTTTCCTTGTTGGGTCATTTTTTCCTTATTGGGTCCTATTTTCCTTGTTGGATCTTTTTCAGTGTTGGATCTTATTTTCCTTGTTCTTTTTTTCCTTGCGGGGTTATATTTTCTTTGTTGGGTCTTTTCCCCTTGTTGGGTCTTACTTTCCTTGTTGGGTTTTATTTTCCTTGTAGGTCTTTTTTTCTTTGGTATTTTTCCTTGTTGGATCGTTTTCCCCTGTTGGGTTTTATTTTTCTTTGTTGGGTCTACTTTTTGCTGGTCTTATTTTTCTTGTTGGGTCTTTTTTTCCCTTGTTGAATCTTTTTTTCCTTGTTGGATCTTTTTTCCTTGTTGGATCTTTTTTCCTTGTTGGATCTTTTTTCCTTGTTGGATCTTTTTTCCTTGTTGGATCTTTTTTCCTTGTTGGGTCTTATTTTCCTTGTTGGGTCTTATTTTCCTTGTTGGATCTTTTTTTCCCTCTACGTTGTTTCACTGTTGATTTTGCGTTGAAATATATGATTATTTTCTCTTCACGTTGATTCTACGTTGAAATGGCAGTGATTGACGAGTGGGATTGATTTACCTTCACCAGTTTGTAAGTTGATTGTGTTAGCTCTTAGTTGGCAACGCTTATGACTAGATTAGATGAAAGACTGGTATTGACAACATTGATTTTTAACTGTGATTGATGGCTCAGTGTTGACAGCTAAAAGTGATTATGGCTTGAATTTTTAGTTGTGATTGATGTCCCAGTATTGACAGCTAAAACGTGACTGTAGCTTTGAGATGAGTGATGAATGATACTCCATGATACTGTTAGCTTTAACCGATAGTTGTATCTTCGTAAATTCATGGCAGACTACTTTTAGCTTTGACCTATAGTTGTCTCTCTTAGCTTTACACACACACACACACACACACACACACACACACACACGAAGATATCCATACTAATTTAACCTATCTGTCATCTCATATCAGACCATGGAGTATCGGTCATGGTTCACCCTTATCACCCCCCCTTCCCCCCAATCTCTTAACTATTTGACGTAAATGATTGTTGGATGAATTAATAGTAAAAATATCAGTTGTTTGGATTGAGTTAGTGTTGTTGGATCACCTGAGGATTAGACACCCTCTCCCCATCTCAGCTTATTTTACCTTATTATTATTATTATTAGTAGTAGTAGTAGTAGTGGTGGTAGTAGTAGTAGTAGTGGTGGTGGTAGTAGTAGTGGTGGTGGTAGTAGTAGTATGTTTCTGATTAAAAAGTAGTTCGTCATAGTCACACATCTAATGATTTTTTTATTTGTTATTTACGTGGTAGTTGTCAGCAGCATGTGTAGTGTAAGGTATTCCCAGGAAGGTAGAAGGTAACAATTAAGGAGAAGCAGGTTGTGAGTGGGTCAGTAGTAGCGCAGGAGTTGTGGTCACTGACTCGACGCTCCACCTGCCCAGCCACACCATCATTGTTTTACTCACCGCCTTGGTTGCTTTCTTCTCACGGTACTGATGTGTAAGTCTTAAGATTAGGTGTGATGTTCTTCAATTGGATATTTTTTCGATGTTTGGTTTCTCTAACGGTCGTGTCACTACGTGTTAAGCATTTTGAAATGGATCGAACTGTAGGTTGAAGCATCTGTCGTGTCCCGCCAGGAGTGATGTGATAAGAGTGACTATTATCTGGCGGCGAACTCCAGCAACATGTGTTAACAGGTGGGTGTTGTGTGGCTGCCGCGGGACCTGGGGGGAGCGACCACTGCTGCAGGGGTGATGACAGCGCCCTCCACCCCGACACACCAGACTTTATACCTGAGGCCCATACCTGTATAGGGGGGGGGGGTGCTGGAGGCTCTTCTAGTGGTAGTGGAGATGACAAAAGAATAGGGTTGGTGGCGTAGAACGTGGGGCTGGACATGACTCAATGACCGTAGCAGTAGGTCAAGAGACGAGGGGGAGGGGGGGGGAGTGAGTTACGAAGGAGACTGTCCCAGGGCCTGAGGCTCGGCCAGACCAGGGGCGCTTGTTGGACGACTGCCAGACTCTGTGATGTCTGTGAGACTTCCGCGTTTGGCTGTATCCGTGATGCTCACCCACAGATACGCCAGCCCTGGGCGTGTTATTTCCCACCCTCTTGTTGATCCCACCCAGCCGACCCACGCAGCCCACCAACCCATAGGTTCTTCCAGGTTAACCACTCACCCACCATCTCTGCTGCCCCCACCCATTTCACCCTTCTTCCATGCCACCCACCTACTGCCACCCAACCCTTCTTTTAGTATTCCTTTCTCTGTGTGTGCGTGTGTGTTCGACCGGTTACCTAACTCAGCTAGAAGTGTCTTCGTGTAAGGTCAGAGGACTTGTCTGACAGGTCATAGACTCATGGTGCATAAATTCTCTTTTTCCTGTGACGGACACAAAAGCTCCACCGGACAAAATCACTACAGGCACCGGAAAATATCCCACTGGACAAAATTTTCTCAGTTCAAGGTGCTTTTTAAATCCCAGTTTACCAGTTTAAGTTTACCAGTTTAAGTCAAGTCAGGTGAGATCGTGCCACGGGTGAGTCTTATAAGAAGCACCTGAGGGCGACTCTCTATACAGGCCAGGTCGAGTTACAGGGAGGAGGAGGAGGAGGAGGAGGGAGAGAGGTTATTGCTGGGAACGTCTAGGTGAATGAAGATAAACACGGTGATCAACACAGTCCTGAGAACGATGTACTGACGCCACCAACCACTATCACAACTACCATTATCACCATCACCACTATCATCACAACTGTTACCACTACCACCACTATCATCACAACTGCTACCACTACCACCACTATCATCACAACTGTTACCACTACCACCACTATCATCACAACTGCTACCACTACCACCACTATCATCACAACTGCTACCACTACCACCACTATCTTCACAACTGTTACCACTACCACCACTATCATCACAACTGCTACCACTACCACCACTATCATCACAACTGCTACCACTACCACCACTATCATCACAACTGCTACCACTACCACTGTCATCACAACTGCTACCACTACCACCACTATCATCACAACTGCTACCACTACCACCACTATCATCACAACTGCTACCACTACCACCACTATCATCACAACTGCTACCACTACCACCACTATCATCACAACTGCAACTGCTATCACACTGCTATCATACTGCTACCACTACCACCACTATCATCACAACTGCTGCTATCACACTGCTACCACTACCACCACTATCATCACAACTGCTACCACCACTACCACCACATACTGCTCATCACAACTGCTACCACTACCACCACTATCATCACAACTGCTACCACTACCACCACTATCATCACAACTGCTACCACTACCACCACTATCATCACAACTGCTACCACTACCACCACTATCATCACAACTGCTACCACTACCACCACTATCATCACAACTGCTACCACTACCACCACTATCATCACAACTGCTACCACTACCCTCACTGTCATCACAACTGCTACCACTACCACCACTGTCATCACAACTGCTACCACTACCACCACTATCATCACAACTGCTACCACTACCACCACTATCATCACAACTGCTACCACTACCACCACTATCATCACAACTGCTACCACTACCACCACTGTCATCACAACTGCTACCATTACCACCACCATTACTACCACCACTATTACTACCACCACTATCACCATTACCACACCACCACTACCTGTTTTATCCAGGTGGTGACTGGAGAGAACCACGTCTCATTAAACGGTTATAACAGCAAAAACTTAAACCTTCGTTGGATATTTTTTTCAAGGAGTAGGAGAACACTCGAGTATGTGTGGGGTGACACTGTTCCCATCACCTACCGCCACCATTACCATTAATCTAATATGAAATGAAGAACAAATTGTTTTTGTTGTTTAAGTGTTCATTGTTTGTGTCACATACTAAGTTGTTTTTTTTCTTTAACAGCTGTGAAATTTGGTCGGATGAGCAAGAAGCAGCGAGAGAAGGTGGAGGACGAGGTGCGCTACCACAAGGCTGCCCAGATGGGCATGGCCGCCCAGGAGACCTCGCCGGACTCATCCATGTACGAGCCGCCCACACCCACGTCTTCAGATATATACACCCCGTATGTCATCCGCGGCTCTACCACTGTACACGTCCTCTTGCGTCACACACACACACACACACAGTATTCATTTTGAGCAGAGTAGTGACAACTCAAAATTAACTCGCATTGTTTGCCAGCTCCTCCCTGGCGGAGACTGATTTGGTGGTTGTGTGGATATAAAGCTCACCTGTCTTAAGGGTCTCTGGTTTGATTCGTGGGGACCACAATCCACCCAGCTGTACCTACTGTAACTTTAGTACCGGCTACACTTCCTCCCTGTGTGCTGAAGGCTTAGGATACAGTCTGCTGTATCCACACTCCCTAATGGACCATGAGGACGCTGGGATCCACTTTCCCCTGACACAAACCGTAACTTCCCGACAGTCATCTTTTGTAGCCATGCGGGTTTGGCAAACAAATTGCTTCACCTGTGTATGTCTAGTAACTATCCATACATGACCAGTAGCTGCATATAGACATACAATAGTAAGGTAGAACACCCACCCTTGGGAACTCACTTGCTTATCTTTGGTTTATTTAGCTTGAATTCCCAGCCAATCAGAACGCTTGATACAAACGACAGAGGTAGAGGTGGCACATGATGATTACATTTTATATAAACATATTTACTGTCACGAGTTGTTAAGTTTTTGTTGGATATTACAAATAAATATTTTAAATTAAATTTTGCACGTTAAAATAATTTTACAGCGATTACAAGTCCTACGGATGACAATCTAAAAGAAATAATACCAACACTTAATTTTGAACTGGTCTGCCCGCTGAACTATAGGTGACGGCAGCTCCCGCCTAATTAATAATAATATATAATCAGTAACAACAACCGACAGAAATGTGTTTACAAGAAATGTTAGTTGGAAAATATATATATTGAATTACGTTATAACTTATAAGTGATAAATATGTATAAATATCAGTCTTGTCTCCTTTCAATGAACAGTGTAACTTCATGTTGGCAAATATTTTGTTGATATACTGTATGAATCAAATGCTGACAACATTCATACTGATGTAAAAGAATAAGCTTCCCCCTTGATGTATGTCACTGTTGTTGTACAGCCTCGAGCATCTGGCACCACAACACACGTCACGATGTAACGTATTTTGTACAAATGCAAGTGTTTGAAATGTTATATCAAATGCTTTGGCAGTTACTAAATATCAGCCAGAAACTCGGGACATGTCAATATTAATCTGTACAACATCCATGGTAAGTTGTTCAGTAGTACAGTATGGTTGGTGTGTGACGTGCATATATCCTTCAAATATTTTTTCCCTCAACAGATACTATGGGTCGGAGATTGCCTCCTTCCCCTCCACAGGGTACAGTTATACCCCACAGACCACCACACCTACTATACCCTTCGAGATCAACCCAGATTATGTAGTTGACTCTACCACATTTGATCCTCGTCAAACCTCATTAGACCCCCTGCCAGACTCGGGAGCCATGTCACCAGTTGTGTCCTCTGGTGAGTCTCTCTTCGTGCTCTTGCTTCATTATTTATCTCAATTCCAGTTTTTGGCGAATCTACTCAGAGTTAGCAGTTAGTACTAGCGAGAAAGGTAAGAAGGCAAACAATTGAGAATGAGATGGTAGTGTCATGAAATTAAAGTTCTTTTAATAGATACCGTACAAGCATTGGGGAGCAGAGGCGATGCTTTGGCAGCCAAGATTTACTCATGCCATAAGAGAAAGACAATTGTTTATCCATTGGTTTATACCTATTGGTCAACCAGCCATCTACTTGTGGTGGTAATGAAATTTCTAAGATAATTCTTATACAAATAACTAAAAAGATGTAATAAAAATTGGCGAAGATGCCAGAATGGAAAGCTTTGTTCTTATGCAGTAGAGTTCTTCCTTGATAAGAAACACAGCATGGGGAACTATTTTGACCAATACTACTGTACTCATAAGCAAGAACCTTTGAATTAGTTAATGTGATATTTCATCAACATGTAAGGTGAGTGATTAACATGTGAATATTCTGTACAAAGAAACCACAGTGCACTTTCTTCCTTTCTAAATATTATGACTTTGTTTCTGACTATTGACTCACAGACCTTATTCTGTCCTATGCAGTGCACACGGGACTCAAAAGTTGGACTCTGGGTGTCGGTGAGTCACCCGGAGGTTGACGTGCTCCTTAGTGTCATTTAAACTTGTAATTTAAATGTTTAATACTTGAATACTTAAAATTATTTTCATTTAACATTAATGGCAACAAAACCCCGTGCAAGCAGGAATAGGATTGATATACAGTAATTGTTAAAGGGACAGCTGAAGGAATCACCTGTATATAAGGAAAGACTGGGGCCAGTAGCCTGCACTTTCTCCTACAGTTTTGACAGTTCCAGAATTTTACTTAGACATGACTGTCATAGACCTCAACTGTAAACAAAATATCAACAGTGTGATGTCTTCTTCTTCCTGCATGCACGGTGCCTGTGGGTTGGTTATCTCACCTGCCTTGGGTCCTCACTAATGCTCAGGTGTTGGGTCGTCACTCCTCAGGTAAAGGCGGGTTCGGGCACAGAGGAGCTGGCTCAGGGGGAGGAGGAGGAAGCGAGCTAGCTGGTGGTGGTCAGATGCGGGGTGCTGGGCCTGGAGGAGGTGGTGGTGGAGGAGGAGGAGGGGGAGGTGGAAGTCTCTTGGGAGAAGCAGACATCATTATAAAAGAAGAAGTATCCGTAGAGACGTGCTTTAACATGGACACTCTACAGACCACCAGACTTAATGAGTGTGGTGGTGCTACCAGTATGTCAGACAAGAACCTTACTCCCGTAGACAGCACTACGTACCTGCCTCCTGGTCCCACTTCTCCACCCCTCAGTCAACCTCATCAACAGCAGCAACTACAACAACAGCAGCAGCTACAACATCATCAGCAGCAGCAGACAACTGTAGCTGGTGCCACAGTGTTACCAGACGAAGAGAGCGTATCCCCCCGTAAGCTTATGATTATTGCATGCTTACTATATTCGCATGATTGTTTAATGCATGAATGCATGACATTTGAGTTATGTAGTTAGCTTGAAGTATGTAGGAGCTTGAAAAGCTTTGCTGTATCTGGGACGGTGGGACCCTCGACACTGACGTGTTCTACGGAAAGTTAAGTCCTACAAGAATTACAACAGGTATTGCTTTTTTCTCTTATTTAGCTGTGGGTCAGTTATTTTTATTTTGACTACTGAAAAAGCGCTGTAGTAGTGTATATATCATGTAAGGATGTTAAATGTAACGAAGATAAAAAGGTAAAAATATTGCTTATAATTACTGACATGCTTTTTGCATTTACTGTTGCTGTGCTCTTAAGTTGTATTGAATTATTTTTAGTGTTTCGTTGTATATGGTATTAACTCTATATAAGAGGCTTAACTGGATGCTTCAGAACACTTGTTTGCCTCATCCTAACCAGTCGTATGGAAATATATAAAGAGCAAGTATTGCCCTTTAACCAATAAATGCTTTCTTGTTTTACGGTTTGCCAGTCCAAACTTTTTTTTTAATTCAATTATTTCTTGTTTGAGCTTGCTTGTATATATATATAAGTTTTATGCATTTTGCATGGTGTATGCATTCCTTCATGTGAACGCTAGTGTTTGGTGTTTCAAGTACTGTACTGTACGTCTAAAATACCTGTATCTCTGATTGAATCTCTTGTCACTTATTATTTTAACCTTAATAATATAATTGGGATTTTCTTGAAAAAATTTACTATAATTATGGTACATGTGTTAGATTACCTCTCATACATTAATATTTCTCACATTCTTGATTAACTCAGATAATAATTAAATTGGCCTGAGATGTACTATTTTAAAGAAACAAAATTATATTGTGCTGTAGTATGGATGATAATTTTTTAAATTTAGATTTTAAATTTTCTGCAACAATTTATGAAGTGTTGGTGAAAGATAAATACTGTACCACAATCATAATCGTACAAGACATTACTGTAGAATCGATAAATCTTCGACTTGTCAGCTTTCGTATAACCGCACCCCAGCTGGCTAGTCAATTTATAAACGTGTATGTGTGCCCTGAAGTGTTTATTTAATTTGAAGAGTTAATATATGTTGTCTGATCTGGAATAAATTGTATTTATATCAATTTAATCAATGTCCATTTATTAGTAGTGACCTGTTGAAGGGAGTTACAATATAATGTTAAAAGAATAGGAATAAGCAAATTGTAAACCATATATTTATATTAAAATTCATTATGTATTGTGATTTAGAAATATTATACCAACGTACATGTATACTGTAGATTTCGCGACTTGATTATTATAGAAGACACCAGTGTAACGTTTCAGTCGGAGGGGTTGTGTGTGTAAACGTCAAGATGAACCAGATTCAATGTAATGTTAAATTTTTATTATTGGAACATAAACTGACTTATTACTTCCGCAGATCCTGCACAACTTGCCGAGATCTTGGCTCGTTGGGTTGCTGACGCTCACTTACGAACGTGTTTATACTCCAGTGAGCACATAGCAGATGTTATGAGGAAACAAGCCCTCGACATCTCTAAAGTCACCTACTACAAAAATATGGCAAGCAACCTTTTATTCATTCATTATTTGGTAAAGGACAGGTATACACGTGTGCAGTGTTGGCCTGTCATATCCTATATGTTCTTTGTCAAGCAGGATGGCCCTGTAGATGATCCTCTATGTCTCTGTGCTAATACTATTGTCACGTGCAGTACATTACTTACATTTCTAGCTAAGACTTCCCATGCAGCTCCATCTGTAACCATAAGAAACAGTCATGACATACGTATTACATCCATATGTACAATTATTAAAGACAAAAGTCGTGTCGCGGTTTTGTCCGAAGATTAAATATAACTCGTGAAACATTATGAGAGCCCCCTACCACAAGGCAGAGCTCACCAAAAGTTTATCCCTTCGGCATATGTGTTCACCAAATTTCACGACACGGCTTTTGTTTGTCATTGTACACATCCATTTTTCTCATACTGTACAATATCCCTGTCAGTATTTTATGGTCATTTTCTACGCTTGTATGAATTAGTCGTTTCCTATTCTCATGATGACTGATCAATCCAACCAACTTTGTTTCACTATTACCTCACTTTATTCACCATCTAATATCTCGGTTTGGTAAGTTTGCAGTTTCAGTCACAATTCGTTTTGGACATGTAGCCTAGGATTTTCCGATGGTTTTCGGTGTGAATCATTGATTTTGACATTACTGTCGGAAAAGACTCGTTTTTTATATACGACGGGGTGTATCTCAAAACGAGTCTTTTCCAACAGTAATGAATGTCAAAATCAATGATTCACACCGAAAACCATCGGAAAACCTAAGCTTTATGTCCAAAACAATTGGGTAAACTAACTTAACCCAACCTACTATATATCAATCTAACCAGGGACATAATAGACTTGTTGAGTGAGCTGAATGCCTGTAGTTACTCAGCTTATACCATAGACAGGCACGAGGTTACTTAATAGAAGTCTATAAACACCTCAAAGGCTATTACTCAGTCTAGTGTTCATACTGTACTTGGAGCTGGCGGATGGCCGCCCACTATGCTGTAGGTCTGCTCAGCTTAAGTTTACAGAAAATATTTATTTGGGGAATACTGTACTTTTTTGTATACAGTATATGAAATATTGGCATTACTCCTTTCGGCTCAATTAAGTTTAAATTTGATAACTGGCTGTATAGAATTTGAATATTGATACCGTATACATACGTACTGTACTGTATGTATAAATATTTACTCGTGGATTTTGTTCAAGACTCCTCTACTGGTAACATTTAGTCATTTAGTGGTCTAATGTGATTTGCTTACCAACCATTTACTTAAATATTACCTTGTGTACTTACTAAGTATGGAGAACTACGGTAAACTAAATTACTGTATACAGTATTGCAGTCTCATTTCATTGAAGGGTGAATTAATTTTAGCTATCTTTCCTTTCCGTGATGTATAATTATTATTAGACTCCTTTAGGCGTATAATTTGATGGGTAAGATGAAGCTATTTAGTTTTGTTTCAAATTTTTAATTTTTATTATAGTTTCATTTTGCTATTACAGAAAAAATATTAATTTCCATGTAAGATAATCTAGTAATGATATTGCAGGTACAATACTAGTCTTGTAGCTGAAGTCAAGTCATAAGTTACTGATGATTATGTTTAGTTCTGTGTTCCTACTATGGTTCAAGTTATTTCCTCTGAATCAAGACAATGACATAAACTGTATAGTATCATGTAGTAAAGGTACAGGGTACTCTTACATTTTATTTAATGTGCAGGCTTTCTATACCTATTATGTTGAGGGAATTGGAGTGACTATTGGGAAGGGAGACATTTTATGTTTTATACAATTTGCTTGGATAAATCGTATAAAATAACTAGAAAATTAATATGTGATATTGTACTATACTGTGGCCATGAATGGCATCGGGAAAACTTCTAAGATTTGACAATATGTGTCTAAATACTAATTTGGGCATGTGTCGAAATAGCCAAGTAGCTGTGGCACCCGTTATCATTTTTTCTTTGCCTCAAATATTCATCACAGATCTTCATTTCCAGGCACATGAAGAACTTTGGTTTGATTGTGCTCAGAAATTGACGTCCGTAATCCAGCAGATCATCGAATTTGCTAAAGCCGTTCCAGGCTTTAGAAAATTCTCACAAGATGATCAGATTGTTCTTCTCAAAGCAGGTATGGAATACAGTACACTATTGCAGCATGATCATTTTGGGGAGGAATTTTAGCCTGTGTTATAATGATCAGTTATATGTGTTTATGATATACAGTTTTACTGTATATACATGTACGGTGTGTTGTAGTACAGTATAATAGAAACAAGATTATCTCTCAGTCAACAATATTTTGATATTTTTCTTACTTGAGTATTGAAATATCTTGGTTTTAACAGGGAGTTTCGAGTTGGCTGTGCTGCGGATGACCCGGTACTACGATGTGAATCAGAACTGCGTGGTGTACGGTGATACTCTTCTCCCCATGGAGGCCTTCCTTACCACAGAGACAGTGGAAATGAAACTTGTTAACAACGTCTTTGAATTTGCCAAAACTATCGCTGAACTTAAATTGACAGACACAGAGTTAGGCTTGTACTCTGCTCTAGTGCTGCTACAAGCAGGTAAGAAGCAGCACAGTGTTAGTGATAGTGCTGATGATGGCGCCCTGGATGGATGGGGTTGGCATCAGTTTTGCCACCCAGTGTGCTGCTTTACCCCCAGTGTGACTGGGACCTTGATACTCTGAGGCTCCATCCCTACCCGCCGCCACAGTCGTTACTGACACCAAGGACATCGACTTTATCAATTGACTTAACAAATCACTTACAGAAATTTCCAGTGAATTGAGACTAAAGATTATTAGGCAGAAACCTTACTAAAGTAATTCTAGTGTATTAGGCTTTTACCTAATACAGTAATTCAACACAGAGAAAATTATTGGAAAATTTACAATTATTATATCCTTCCCATTGAATGCCCTGTCTGACATATGACATCACAAAATTCTTGCAAAAACCTTAGTCATGACTGTGGCGGCAGGGTGATGGCGGCAGTCTTGTGGTTACACCTCGGGTAAGGCTCATGCTCGGTGGCCTGGCTGAGGCCCTGGTCTCTACTTCTCTTAACTACAACAAAGGCACCATTACTGTAAGTACAACTAACTCTCCACTCTCTATAAAACTCTCCAGTCTACCAGCTCAGTTTCACCACACTGCTAACATAACTGTACCTGTATTCATATACTGTAATTGTTTACCGGTAGTTCTTCAGAAATGGGGTGTGATTGTAGAATTATGATATAAGTAGTTCATGAATCCCAGATATTGTATCTAGTTACATCAGTGATAAGTGACACATTTTGTCTCTGTTATTTTATATATTATAGATAGATTAATTGCTGGGATACAGTCTGTGATTGGTAGCTGAAACACCAATACTTTTTTGTAAGTATTATAGATATTAAACACATACATAAATGTGCACATTTGCATTAAGGGAAACACACCAACCCATAGAAAAATCAACATATACAATACAATACTTACTCAAATCTGCCCACACCAAGTTTGGTGCATACATGTAGACCTACACATAAAGTGTCTGCTTGTATTGTATGCGCAAGTGCAGACTTTCACATGTGTATATAATACAGTAGATGGATCTGCATATATGGGTCACATTAAAACACACAGTGATGTGAACAAGTGGTGGCAGGTCATGTAGTAAATCCTGTCTGTTGTGGACATTCAGGTTACCCCAGTAATCTCCGAGTCCAGTAGTGACAGGCCAAGTATTAATGGCTTTTGACCATTTGTTGTATAGCAGTAGTGCCCTCACGTGCCATTTGAGTTATGTAGGTTTGAATCCTGCAGGAGAAAATACATGTATTAGTTTTATTAATGTCCAGTTTGAGAAAGAAGTTGTGAATATGACAAGTGAAAGCCAGTCCAATAATCCAGGGAATGAGTGCTTGTTAGAACCACTTGAAATATGCACATATAGTACACCTAGGTCTTTATTTTCCTGTCTTGTCAACACCTGTCTGCCTTCCTCTCCGACATGATAGACTCATGACTCATGAGCTGGAAGATCTGCCGAGAGTTTTTTTTAGAGAGTTTGGGTTGAAATACGATCTTGAGGTCCACTGTTGCTGCCGCTTGATGATGAAGCAGTTTGCTCACTATATATATTTTCATGTGTCCGTTTCCTCGAAACCAGTCATTTGTATTAAGTCATCCACTGCCCTTAGTAGAGCTGCTCTTTGAAGTATATCTGCATGTAATGACACTGAATGACTGATACAAATCATACAACAAAAAACTGGCTGTAGAGCTTGATTTTTCTGTCATTGCTTTGGGACATACTGTCTTAGTTTTGTCCTTTGAATGCTGTTTGTATTAACAGTCTGGCACATACAGTACTGGCACTTGTTTTGCTATCTTGGTTCATTCTTTTCTTTAACTTAAAAAGAAATGTTGATCATAAATGCTTTGACTTTTTGCCCACTTCATGTTCACTGCATATCAAAAATTTTCCCAACACACCTTCAGTGGTGGATTATGACCCATGACGGAGTACAACCTTAAGGTGTATAATTCTTTCCAGAAAATGCTGGGTCATAATTTTTGTTAAATGAGCTTACAAGGTTTTAAAAAGAGAAGTAATTCGTGTGGCTAAGTCTTGCATATTGTAAGTTAGTGAGCTCTGAAGAATTTGATCATAGTATTCTTAAATGCTGTTGGCTTAGTAAATAGCATTTTTCCAAACGTCTTTCCAACATTTGGGGTATTTAACCTTCTTTGCCCCCTTGTTCATTTACCACAGTAATATAGTACAGCATATCTGACTTAACAGTGATGGGCCACAAAAGTTATTACAGTAGTAGGATGATCATTGTAACCCGAAAGACTGATTTTTATAATCTCAGAATGGAACATGTTCTCACACTAAAAGCTATTTAGTACAGTGGTCCCTCGGTTAACGAACTCAATTCGTTCCAGAGAGTCGTTCGTTAACCGAAAATTTCGTTAACCGAATCCATTGTTTCAATGGGATTCTGGGTAATTGGTTCCAGCTCACCGATAATTACATACAAAGTAAAAACAAAATGCAGTAAAGTACTCTTACTTTGAGGTGTGTATGTAGAAGGCTCCTGGTTGATGATGATGGGAATTAGAAGTAGGGGTGGAGAGGAGAAGGGAGAAGAGAAGGAAGTCGGGGTGGAGGAGAAATCACCTTTCAGGGGACCCATGCTTGATGCCGTCATTTCACCAATAAAATTTTAAGTTCACTAGGTGTAATTCAAGATTATTTTCTTTAAATCAACACTGCACTGCACTATATATATTGTCAATATGTTAAATAAATTTCAGAATGACCAATAATTGTACTGTAAAAATGTAAAAATACTCTGTGTTCAAGAGACCCACAACCAAGATGTTTCCTCCACTGGCCAGATACAAACTGAGGCCTTGGTGGGTGAGTGAAGTGGCTGATGGGCGCACCAAAAACTAATTAACTGTACTGCAATTATGTTAAATAAGTGTTAAAATGACTAATAATTTTAATATATGTACAGTACTTAGAAAAATATTGAATGACACAACCTTCTTGATATTTACTCCAATGGAAACGAATATAAGCCCTAGAACCGATTACTGTATTGGCGGACTAATCTTCCAGCTGGTGAGCAAGCCAAAACATGTTGACATGATTTCGTAAGAATTTCGTTAACCAAATTTTTGTTCGTTAACTGAATTGAAGATTCTTATGGAAGGTAATTCGTTAACCGAAATTTCGTTAACTGAGGGATCACTGTACTGTACATTTCTTTACAGTGGATTATCTGGTTTCTTTAGAAATTAACTAGTCAAGGCATTTTTCAATATTTCATCAAACCTATTGCCTTTTTTTATATAAGAGTTTGCCATGATTTTACACAGGACAGATGATATTAGATTAGTTGTGATGCTAAGACTTACTTTATGTTTGCTGTGTGAAAAAAAAATAATACATTCAGTTCTCAGTGTAAATTATGCCTGTTGGTCATAAACTCTCAGAATGGACTCGAGAGAATAGTGACCTTGACGCAGTGACTAGAGGATTGTATTTGTTGTATGGTGTCTTTGATTTTCCTTCTGTTTCCATTCTTTAAATCTTGCTTCAGCATAACTTATTGATTAGCAGTGTTTGTGTTACTAACTACTCTGTGCCTTGTGTGACATTTATTGACTCACAGGAGGTATGACCTATAAATCACCATTGTTTGTTTGTAAAGTCGGGTTTCTTTGTTAAATTATAAGTGAACTGATAATTGGATAATAAATTCTACAGAAAATTTTAAACAGGAAAACATACAGAACATGTTTAATGAAAAATAAAATCATAAATCATTCATCCTTCATGTCCAGTGGTGATTTTGTGCGTCTCAGCATGTTGCAAACCTGCACCAAGCTGCATTCATTTCATGACACAGAATATATGTAAACTAATTTTTTGAATAACCAGTTCTAATTTGAATTTTACTTAGAAAGTAGAGATCTATATTAAATGTAATATGTAGGTTTAAGTAAGTGAGAATTAACAAGTCACTGCAGCATTGTTTCTAATTGATTACGTTGCTTTGGCCTAAGGAATGTCTATGCTTAGCATTGGAAGCCTGACTTTCTTTATTTGTGCCAGATTTTGAGTACTGTATCACCATTGTCTCTTGGGGTGTCTTTGCGTGAGGACAATGTTTTTTTTTTATATGACAGTAAAAGAGATACACTCAGGCCTAGAAGGTATTGCTTGTTCTCACCTGTGTGAGTCCATGGTGAATAGTTAAAATCTGAATAAGTTGACTAGATCAATCCAAATGTATTATAACAGAGTTAACTATCATTGGCTGATAATATAGGAACGAGAAACCATCGCACCAGCCTGTGTGTATATCACCAGGAAGTCCTGTGTGGTAACTGGCTTAGTCTATTCATTGTATTGCCTATGCAAGGTTTTCAGTAACTTAATGTGTTGCTGCTCTGAGAAAGGTAATGAGACGTGAAGGAGCCTGGAAGTAGATGCATATCTCTTCACTCTCATTTCTTCTTTATTTGTACAGTCTAAAACAGTTTGAGATCTCTTCATTTAAGCTGATCTGAATGCTTTTTTTTTCTTTTCAACAAGTGGTCAATATTCTTTGATAATACAGAAACTTTAGTTATTTTATGTACATTTAAGTAAGTAGCTGGTGGTCTGCCAAATAATAACTGGTAACAATTACCAGTTACAAATTGTTAATGTGAACCCTGCATATGTATATCCAAAGCTGCGCATATGCTTGAAATTCTTTAGCTTTAATTTTTGTTTTGCTAATCATGGAAGATGAACAAGCAAGCAAGACCATCTCATGTAAGGTGACAGTCAGTGAAATAGTCCCGAAGTTAACCAAGAACTCATATGATTGACTTAGCTAATTCTTCGCTTACTTCTCATGAATCTTCTTCATTGTCTGTATTCATCTTCATTTGCACCTGTCTTGAATCAGGAAGTTGATAGACAAGCCAGTAACTACTCAGGTCTTTCATCAGTTGTTTTTAATGCAATCAACCAAGCTCACACAGAGTACTTTTTTCCTCATAGATCGGCCAGGTCTCCGTGGTACTGAAGAGATTGCAAAGCTGAATGAAGCTGTGGGGCGATCACTGTGCCTGGAACTGGACAAGACACACAGGTATCCAGTCAAGGGGGATATTACTGTCTATGCCTTCCTGTTGGCCAAGATGCCTGCCCTCAGGTAAGATAAATTTTATTAAATACTGTACTACATCTTTTGCCTCTAGGGAGGAGGATATGAATGTGCTGGTCATTCATTTGTGTGTTTCTGACACTTTGAACATAATAACTCGAACAAATAGCAATTGATTTTTTATGAAACTTAATTGTGTATAGTATGGTTTTATAAAATAAAGTGCATACTAGTCTGGTGTTTGCAACTTTATTTTCAGTTAACCACCACAATATGGTGTGTAGATAAAGCTTTCACCTTCTTTAAGTATAATAAGGGTCACTATACAGTGTCAGGGGTACCCCAGACTTTAGGGGAAAGTTAAAGTGGTTGAGTGCAGTGCAGGCCATACTGCCTCCTTGTGTACCAAAGGCTTAGTATTCAGTATAGTACCCACACTATCAACTCAGGCATCTGTGTTGGTATTATTGTTCCCAGACTTTAGTTAAAATTTGTCTCCAAGGTGAGCTGTGTAATAGTGGATTACCAGTGCTCAGCAATGTTTACAGTAGGGTCGGGATATATCGCGAGATAAGGTCCTACGATGTTCGCTATATACCAAATCACGATATATAATTACATGTAATCAATGGGGAAAATTGGGTTAGGTTCTGGAGGCCAATAAAAGTGACTAAACTTGACTTAACGAGTTTACTTCCTCACTAACTAAAGCACCAATGAACACTAGACTTGGGAACAACAGGCTGTTTTAATATCAAGGCACACCACACTCTGCATCTGACGCACCATCCCGGGAACACCACACTCGGCAGCAGATGCCACACTGCCACACCTACATTAATGAACAAACCAAAAATATTAGTTACAGTATTAAATCTTTTCAGTTAAGCTTTCCATTTTCTTCACTTCACTTTTCACATCAACCCATTTACACTCGCCTTAGAAGTCGTAATCTGCAGCAGAGTCGGCTGCTTACTTGTCATTCACTCAGAAAGACTAAGCAGGCGAGCGTGAATGCGTGAGTGAGCAGCCACGGTGGCGCCTCTGGTGAGCAAATAGCACGTTTGTTTGCCATGGCGGTGCATTTGAAATATTTCCTGCCTGATTTCCCTCACAAAATAAATAAATTTATCGATTTATCTCTATATTGGATAATTTCTATAATTATGGTAGTCACGATATAGGAAGATCATTATAAAAAGTTGCAATATGTCCCGACCCTACTGTACTGTACTGTATTATTGTAAGTAGTCACCTGCATTGTGTTATTGTTAGTTTTATCCTCTTCACCACTGATCGGCTCGTTAGCCGCTTGGGCGATCGGTCACGTCTCTGATTACTTTTCCTTTTCATTTATCCTCTTCACCAAAAGGTCGGTTCGCTAGCTGCCCTGGTGATCAGTCACGTCTCTGTCACGCACTGTTGGCAAATATTGGGCATGCACCGGCTCCTGAATGTACCTGAACCCGCTCCAGTGTTGGTCAAGTCTTGTCTTGAAAGAGCTCGCACTCGGTGCCATTACAACACTCTCTGGTAGATTGTTCCAAGAGTTTACAACCCTCACTCCAAAAAAGTTTGCCCTCACAGTTTTCTGGACTTGCAGCTTCTTCAATCTTGAGCTGTGACCCCTTGTGGGGCGAGCATCCGCCAGCTCCAAGTAAGGACACTCGACTGAGTAGTGCCCCCTGAGATGCTTATACACCTCAACTAGGTCACCCCTTGCCCGTCTGTAATATAAGCTAGGCAAGTTCAGGCGCTCCAATCTCTCAGGGTAGCTGAGGTGCCGAAGTGCAGGCACCAGTCTGGTGGCCCTCCTTTGAACATTTTCAACCAACTGACAGTCCCTAGCATATCTCAGGGACCAGACAGGGTGACAGTACTCCAGATGGGGAAGCACTTCACTCTTGAAGATCGTTACGAGGGATGGACCGTCTAGATATCTGAACGACCTTCTTATAAGACCCAATAATTTATTTGTCTGGTTTACCTTCTTCTCGCAATGGCCCGAGAACTTCAGCTCATTGTCAACATACACAGGTCCTTCTGCAGCTCTTCACAGTCAGCTTGGTTCTTAATTTCCCGAAATAACTTAGCGTCATCGGCAAACGTTTGTATGGAGGAGTGTACAACGTCAGGCATGTCATTTATGAAACAAACAAAAAAACAACAACCGGCCCAATACACTGCCCTGTGTTACCCCACTTGTGACAGGTACGGATGACGATTTCGTGCCAGTAATCACCACACACTGCTTGCGGTCATGTAGAAAGTCTTCTATCCATGCTAGGACATTCCCCGAATTCCGTACCCTTCCAGTTTGATTTTCAGGCCTTCATGGGGTACACTGTTGAAAGCCATGGCAAAATCTATGTAAATATTGTCGATATTACCACCCCGTTCCAGAATATGGGTCCATATATCCAATACCTTGAGCAATTGTGTTAAGCAGGAGCTCCCCGGCAAAAAACCGTGTTGGCAATCCTTTACAAGATTGTTTCGTATTAGATGTTCCATTGCGGCATCTCTGATAATACTCTCAAGTACCTTACATATTATGCTGGTCAGGCTCACCGGTCTATAGTTGTTCGTGGAGTGCCAATCGCCCTTCTTGAAGATAGGACTCACATAAGCCACTTTCCATTCACTGGGGACCATTTGTTCATCCAATCATTTACAAAACAGGATCTTCAGGGACTCTTCAAGCTTGTTGCACAACTCTCTTAGCTCTCTAGGATGCACCATGTCAGGGCCGGGACTCTTATGAACCTTTAGCCTGGGTCAGTGCTGTGTCGAACCATCTGTCCTCAAACGCAGGAAGGTTAGTTGCATCCTCTCTTGTGAACACCGAGGAAAAGAAGCTGTTCAATGCCTCAGCTTTATCCTGGTCTGAATCTGTGTAACTACCATCCACAAGCCTCAGGTCTGACACTCCTACTCGCGTTTTCAATTTCGACTTTGCATAGTGGTAAAACGCCTTTGGGTTTGACTTGACCTCGCTTGCAACCAGCCTCTGGGACTCCTTTTCAGCCCTTCCACACTCTTATCTTTGCTTGGTTTCTGGCTCTTGCAACATCCTCCTGTCTTGCTCATCGTTTGAGCCAACCCACGTCTTGAATTTCTGGATTTTCTTCAATTTTGTCAACCGCCGCATGGTTCATGTGTAGGGATCCCCTCGTATTTCTAGAAGCACTGGGTTTGGTCTTCGGTATATATTTATCAATCAAATGGGTCACTCTACTAGTTATGATATTCAGCGTAGTGTCTGCGTTCTTGTACCTTAATGAGTCAGGCCATTTAATACCACTCATCTCTTCCCTCATCCCATTGTAATTTCCCTTGTAATATTTGCACCTTGGCCTGGCCTTATCCTGAACTAGGTAACAGTTAAATCTGAATGATAACACAATATGGTGACTGGTTCCAACTGGGGCAAGGTGTTCCAGTTTGACCACCATACCCTCCTCGTTTGTTATGATGGGGTCAAGTGGCTTGGGTGTTTGCTCCCCTCTGTAATGTGTCCGGTCTCTAACATGTTGGAACAGAAAATTATCTCTCAGAGTTTTTACAAAAAGAGTAGCAGGGTTATTCAAGTAATTTGGGGTGAACTCATTTCTCCAGTCGATGTCGCCATAGTTAAAGTCCCCATGATAAGGAGGTGGCTAGGGTTGAGCATTGCCTCGTTGTTTATTAAGTTTCTTAAGTTTCTTTGATTTAGTGGGCCACAGTTTGGGGATCTGTAGATACACCCGACGATAAGAAAGTCCCCTCCCTTTAATTTAATTTAATTTTACACCACTTGGACTCTTCAAAAACATCCTCTCCCTCTACCCTCGCCTGGCTGGCTCTAAGGTCTTGCCTAGCATAGATAACCACATCTCTCTTGCAAGTTTCTTGAGAAAGGTTCGTAAATGAGTCATATCCAGCAATACTGGACTCGCATTCCTCTGGGTCGATTCTCCTGTTCTTGTACAACAGTTCTACAACTCCTACGATATCTGGTTGGTGTACTCTTAGTAGTGTTTCAAACTCCTGTTCTTGTACAACAGTTCTACAACTCCTACGATATCTGGTTGGTGTACTCTTAGTAGTGTTTCAAACTCCTCTCTCTTATCGATAAACGTGTCAGTATTAGTGTACTACATGACATTCAAGCCTGAATTTGTTCTCGGTAACGTCTCTGCTCTTAGTAGTAACACCCCCTCCCCCCCATTCTCAGAAGCTGCAGCATTTGCTAAGTACACTGTATTTTGCAGGGTGTGGTTAGAAATGTCATTGTTTACACGGCGCTCGCCTCCTCCTGTCCGGTAGGACACCCCACTGAGTTCCATCTACTTCAGGAAAATAATTTTAATTTTGAAATAATCAAAGATAGTCTGAAATAATGCACCTTAGAAAATTACCTTATTGAAAGAAAATGTAAAAGAAATTGTTCACTAAAAATAAATCACAAAAAAGGAAAGGTTGTCCTCATGTAGTACAGTACAGTGCAGTATTGTACACTGTACTAACATTTTGTAGATGATAAAAAGGGGTTGAAAATATTGATAAAGTATCATACCTGTACTGTATAGTACATCTAATGTACCTAAACTTCACAACTCCTTTTCTTGACATCACTCCTGTGTGGAGGGGAGTTTTTATCCATAGTGTATTTGGATATGTATAGAAAAAAATGGCTTCTTTTGGGAGATGATTCTCATAAACTTTAGTTTGACCCCTTGCTGCTACTGTGAGAGAGGATTATGAAATATTGGGCTATTTTTTATTTATTTTTTTCGTGTGTATGCACTATACACACAATTATGAATGCAGCAACTTGATACTGTATGTAGATGTATCACAACAAGGCCACAGATGATGACCATTATTTTGTCATTATTGTCTGGAGTTTTTGCCACTTTTACTTTGCTGCAGTGCATCAAGGAATTAAGCTACTTATAATAACAAGAGCTTACAGTATATTTACTGTTTTTTATACTGTATTTATAGGTGAGTATTGTACTTGATATGGTTACAGTTTTATTTGCAATCTTGATATGAAGTGCAGGGAAATATCAGACAAGCATCATTGACATGTTTATTCACTGAGGCATTTCCTTGCCCAAAACTGAAAATATTTGAAGCAGGATGATGTGAAATGATTGAGGTTATATGGCAGGGAGTTCCACATTCCTGGTCTGTTGTGTAAAAGAGTTTTGATATGCAGAGGTTCTGCATAATTGAAAATTCAACAGGTACCCTCATAGGCTGATTGGAGGTGTGTGGTGATGGCACTAATGATTGTAGCTAATCAGAACTCTGACTGGAAATATTTGCATTTACCTAGTGACCACTCACCAGAGGTGGCCATGTCGAGGGAAGGAAGCAAGTGGCCTGTGTAGGATATTTGCATTTACCTAGTGACCACTCACCAGAGGTGGCCATGTCGAGGGAAGGAAGCAAGTGGCCTGTGTAGGATCCCTCCATTGTTCTTAGTAATTTTTTTCAAGGGCAATGCTGGAAGTTTTCTGGTAAGGACTTTATTGTTGATTGTTTGGATGCAACAAATCAATAGGGCAAAATGCCATAACACCCTACCTAATCCACACATGACAGCAGTAGTCTGTCTGAGAGTGTCTGACTTACATGAAATGGTTGTCATCCCTTCATCAGTGAAGTACAGCCTGGCTGTGAACATGAGTCCAAGCTTAATTAAATGAATTTTGGCCAAGTTTATGACAAAATTTGTCATGGGAAGACTTGAAGTAAGGGTGATTCCTGAGATCTCGATGCAGTTTGATGATGGGATGATGGTGGTGTTAAATTTATGCTTAGCTTGCCTATCATGACTGTCACTAATGTAAATGTTATTATTTTGCATAGTAACATTGAATGAAGGAAACCAAGTTGGATGCACCCCACTCAGCCATGTGAGCGAGGTCTTCCTGTAGAGATGAGGATGTCTTGTCTGGCATTCAGAATTCCATCTCATGAGACTGAGCCAAACAAAGTAAAGTTATTATGTACAGTAGTACTACAGTCGGCCCTTCACATACGCTGGTTTAGCATACACGGATTCGCAAATACGCGGATTGTCCCGCCGGACGAATATTCTGTACATTGAAGTAATTGAAGTACATTCAAATCGCGCTCGGCACCGAACACTGGACACCGTCCACTCCTGCTACCTCACACACACACCATAGCGTCGCTCCCTCACTCAGTCAGTCTCGCTGTAACCACGCTTGTGTTGACATCAGCATTGTAGGTCGACCCTGATTTTTTTACCAAAAAATCGTTAATGTATGATATTCCTTGCTTATAGGTCGACCCAAGTTTTTGAGGGTATTGGAACAACAAAACCTTCTGTAAAATCACTCTACGTCCTATAAACTGAGGCTTGCCGTGCCTGAAACACAGAGTGCCGAAGGCAAATTGTTTACCATTTATTATTACGACACTACACTGAAACGCGGGTAGTTTCAACTAAAATATTGTATATTTCCATTCAAGTATTTATTCAAGTCAATTAGGAGGGAATATTATTGTAATACAATAGTTTTTTAACTGAAAACCAGTACTGTACACTAATGTACAAAAATTTTTATCTTGAGCAAAATATATGACGTTTATACAGTATTCAAATTATTGGCTGTCTTGCAAGGATTCCAGCAATGTAAATTATAATCTCCTAACTTTAGTCTGAGATATTATATAAGATAAAAACTGTAAGCCTAAATAAACCCCTGGCTGAGCAGATGAGGGAGGGACGGAGCCAGCCAGCCAGCGAGGGGTGGGGGGGTTTAGGTGATATGTTTGACAGTTTGAGCCGAAGGTCTCTGTGTGTTTATTTAACAGTCCTAGCTTCTCTGATCACTGTACCTGTCGTGGGTATATATCACGTGAGGATACGAGGTGTATTAAGTTCATACCGACGCATACAAGATATTTCCTTTCAAGTATAGTTTCTGGATCACTTCCGACACTTCACATAGTTCTGATACCTTTATCCCTTTTCCAGATCATTGTTCTCATGTACAGTATTTTCATATGATATCTGTGGAAGTTATGTTCCCTACACGTTCACAGAAAATAGTATGACCTTCAAACCCTGATCCACACTTAGTCCTACAGTACACTAGTCCGGCTCAACTGGACTTTAACATTCATCTTATGGATACCCTGAGTTCTCCTTAATGCTATGAATACATACAATTAATATGATATAACTGTACCTGGGTACAATACAACACATGGTCTAGTAACATTGAGTAGGTGAGTTATCCTTTAACAGTGTTTCCCGTTTTCTGAGATTCTACAAGCGCGGTGGATTTGAATGTTATATAGCGTAATATGAATTAAATGGGGTCTTTAGGAATGACAATGATGTGCGCAGTACATCCCATTTTAAAATGCCAGTGAAATGACCTGGGAGAATATAATTAACATTGCTGGGATTCTTGTAAGACAATAATTACTGTAATTTGAATAGCAACATACTCTAATTTGCACTAAACATAACAATTTTAGTACCGTAATGAAATTAGTACATGTACGCTCCAGCTTTGCATTAAGGTCATTTATTTCTTTTAGTACAGTGTGTGCACGTAAATGGATGAAAATAAATGAAGAAATTTATGTAAATCTACCCAAAAATACAGTTGAAAACTTTATACTGTATTATAAAATGTACTACACAGTATTGTACATTAATGTACTACATTTTTATATCTTGAGCAAAATATATGACGTTTATATTCAAATTATTGGCTGTCTTGCAAGGATTCCAGCAATGCAAATTATAATCTCCTAACTTTAGTCTGAGATATTATATAAAATAAACACCTTAAAGAATAAAGTTATCACCAATCTTTTGTCTGGGAACACAAGGAGGGAGGTAGCCAGCGAGCACTGGGGGGGGGGTGAGGTGACAGAGTGTCTGGTGTTTGTTTATTTATTTGAGATAAGATGTGACAGCTGGCGCTGAAGGCCTACGTGTTTATTTATCATTACTTAAGAGTGATTAAGCTCTTCTCATAATTTGCCACCGAAACGACCTGGGTGAATATAACTTACATTGCTGGAATTCTTGTAAGATAGTGATTTATTTGAATACCTGTATAAACAATCTATATTTGCAATAGACATAATTTAAGTACCGTAATCATTTAGTACATGTACAGTACAGGTTTGTTCCACGGTAAAATCTGTTGAACAACGAAAGAAAGCGAAAGTCATTGTTTTTGTCATAATTTTATCCCACTTTCCACTGTAATATGTACGTCATTTCTGCAAAAATTACATTTCCATATTTATTTCCGAGAATATATTCATTCAGTCACAGTTAAGGTAAAATATACTTGTGATGTAACGTTTTAATGAAAATACCCGGTATTTAGACATACGGTATCGTAGTTTTCTTTTGTTTCAAATTTAATTAACAAAAATTGATGTTTCAAACATAATGAAAAAAAATTTATGTACAGTATTTCTATAAATAAACTTTAAAAAAAGAATACTTTATGTTTTACATCGTCCTGTGCATACCATACCATGCATTTGGCTACTTTGGGCTTGCTATGATGACGCAAGAGATCTGCCCTGGCAACTGTACTGACACTCACAGCTGGTGGTGCGTTGGTGCATCGTTTCCATTGTTTACTGGTAGTTACTGGTAAATATTTTTCAACCTAACGAAACTATTACCCGTTTAGAGGTCGACCCCCAATTTTTTGCCAAATAATTTGGTCTTAAAAACTCGAATTACACACAGGTATATACGGTAAATAAGGACATTGGGGGCCAGGGGTTTTTTAGGGGGGAGGGGGGGGCAGCAAAAGTACACGGATTTTTAACATACATTCACTAACATACATTCACGGGTATCTCTGTTACCTAACCCCGCGTATGTTAAGGGTCGACTGTATAGTAAAAATGTCTGATAAACAGTTTCAAAGGACTAATCTGCTTAATTACTTTGTTCCTGGAAATAAATTGAAACATATTGGTATTTTTGGTAACAGGGAGCTGAGCATGCTACATCAGGAAGCACTGAGCAAGTTCAAGAGGGCTGCACCACACCTCCAGTTCTCCGATCTCCACAAGGAAATCTTCAATGTAGATTCCTGAGGTGCCTATACCAGGTAATTTAGATATTTTGCTAATCATACCAAACTAGAAATAGGAAAATATTTAATTAACAAATATGATAGTGTATTATGCATTCATAGTACATTTTTGGTATTCCTAATTTATATGCCTATTGATTAAATTAATACCCTATCCAATAAAGATACTCTACTTACCTTGATCTCATGATAGTAATTGGTAGACTTTTTAAGTATGTTTATATATATTGTACAGTATAACATTTTATGACTTTAGTATGTGTTGATACACTGAAGATTTAACCTTGTTTTGTGTGTTTCAGACTGCCTGGTTAAGATGATAAGGGGAAGGGGCCGTCTGCTCCTCTGGCTCTGTTGCTCCATCACATCCTTTTCTACGAGAGAATGAATCATCTGTACATTACCTTCGTGATTTGTTTGTTAGTGTTACTTGTTAGCGCAGAGGACTATGGACTCTTTAAAATACCATTATAGATGTGTTGTGAGTTTTACAGAGTCTAACAAGTGTTTTGTTTAGAGGAGTGGGGTGCTCAAAACCTCCAGTCTCAGATGCAGTATATTAATATGAAGCCTACAACAGCCCCTTGTAGATTATAATGTTGATAATGATGCCTTACAATCAGAGTCCAGCAGAGTTGGCCGTTGGCTTCGTAGCTGAGTGTTAGTGAGTCCCCACTAAGATAGAGATAGTGAGTCTCTCGAAATGTCCAAGGTTGATGATACTATACAGTTTATTTTTTAAGGAGTCGTATAAACACCCTTGACAATGATCCTTATCTTTGTAAATTGAAGATATTGTATACTTAAAAAAAATATTTAATTACATTATTACATGAATTGTTGTATACTATAAATCTTTATTGCTTATAGGAAAAGTTATCATTCTCATATTATCATTGTCAACAAAAGGTATAAACAAAATTACCACTGATATCATGTCATCATCTCCATCACTATGTTTATAAGTTTTTTTTTATATAAGTTTAGCTAGCTTATAATTTTGTATAGTTTAATTTATTTTTGTTCAGCTTTTCCCAGCAAACACATAATGAAATCATATATTGTGCCAGTTGATACTAACCTGCAAATGATAGGGTCACGATTGGCCACGCTTGCTCGAGTCCTGGCAAGAAGCAAATAACTGAAGGAGGGATGGAACAGTGGTACAAAGAAAATGGGAGTCCCATAGTTGATCACTGGTACGGGCAGAAAGTTGTTGAAAACTGCCTCCAAGCTGGATTTTTGTAACAGTGCTTGAGTTTTGAGGAGCCTTTGAAATTAATAGGAATTAAAGACTCAGTTTTGAAAAATGTGTTGACAAAATTGAACTGAAAATCTGTGTTATGCTCAAGTGGTGATAAGAAATCCGGTGTATGTGTACTGAGCGTCCCAGACTCTCAACATGGCCTCAGACTCTCTTGGAAACGCTGTCTTGCGTCCTTTGCCCATTCCAGCCGTGCTAGAGTACAAATAGGTTAGAGCCGAGGCCATCCTGCCCTGTCTTGTCTCCTGCAGTCCTGCCCTGGACCCACTGGCCCGTGACCACGTCCTTTTCAAAGTCTTTGGTCTAAAGGTTCCTAAAGCCATCTCAGTCAGTCTTTTTCTTAGTGACCGACGTGTGTTCAGGCCTGTGAGCCACCTTTCTGTTGGCCATTATATTTTTTTTCTTTAGATGGAGTCTTGATTTGAGCTAACGTGGTTGGCTTTAGGTCCATTTGACTGCAGACACAAAGTGTACAGAAAGACACAGCTTCTATCGTAGATGTTAAGGGGCGGCCGTTGCTGGAGGATCTCTAGTGCTTAGTATCTAGAGTCTAGTGTGCTTCGGAGAGTTTGGGGCTAGGCTTATCCTTCCCCAGAGCTCAATTACAGAAGGATTAACTATCCCATGAAGGGTGCTGTGGGGTTAAGGAGTTGGTCCAGCCCCACTCTGCTGGCATCAGGTCACAGCCGTACTGTACAAACTCTCCAGCCGCCGCCGTGATGCTTGCTGCCTGCTGCCACCAACCAGCTATTTATTTATTTGTGTAATGACCATCCCAGTCTGTGCTGTGCTTCATGAAATGGACTACACAGCAAGCAGCAAGTGGCTACTCTGTATATTGTATACAGACTCTCCTATTGGTTATTGTGCATTAAACAACTCTCCCTTTGGTCCTTCCTCTTTGGGGTGCGGGAAATAACCAGCTAGGACGTCTTGTACTCACCACACATAAACACAGGGGTTACAGTAAACTGGTATTTTGGCTAACCTGGAGTTTTATTATGCCTTTGGTATCATCAGTTTTTATAGGTTCAAAAGTTTATTATCCTTATCTGTCAGATCCATAATAAAAAATACATCTTTTTATTTTTTTCATTTTGAAACCCATTTGGATTGTGATATTTCTAAAACTGTTTGTATTGAACCACTTGTTTTGAGTAAAAAAGAAATAAAAGATTTATTAAGGATATTTTTAGTACCCAAGATGTAGTCCAATGAGAAATATGAAGATCTGTTTTTTAGCAGTACTTGTAGTGGTAGTAGAAGTACTTGTAGTATTAGTAGTACAGTACTTGTAATTTCGTCATGGCCTGGTTCAGGTGTCGCCTATCATTCTTTGCTCGGGTCTGCTCTGCTGTGTCTCCAGGGAACAAGATCATTGGCCTTTATGCCAACAACAGTCATAGACATAGACTATGAGGCAACAATTACTGAATGCTGCATACATCTTGCAGCTTAACTAACTCAGTTAGGGGAGTTACTTTTGTACTGTATTAGGGTATTTTGGTAATAAAATGTGTGGAAAACAGGAGGTTAGAGGTCATTAAAAAAGTAGTAGTGGGAGTAGTAATAGTACTAGTAGTAGTGGTGATAGTTGTTGTACTTATGGTAGTAGTAGTACTACTACTTGTGAGTTTTTTATAACTAAACTTACATCAGTGTGACCAGATAAATAGTGATTATTCCTGCCATAGATATATAAGCAAGTCTTAGGTGTGACAATTCCTGCTCCCAGTGTACGGTATCACTCTGATATGTGAACTGTCGCCCTCATCCATCCCAGGGGTGGCCTACACACTCATGCGCTTACGTATGCCCCTTTTACCCGGACACAGCAGCCCAGCCTGTCACCTCTCTGCCCTTTCCTCATAAGAACTAGTTTCTTTTTCTGTATGGGACCAAAGCAGATGTCGGAGGCGGATGTAACTGTCGCCCGAAGTGCGGAACACTATGCCGGGTAACAGACATTGTTGCGTCTGTGCTAGCCAGAACCAAAATTGCACTAGCTGTGAATGTGCTAGAAACAACCGACCATGTGTGGTTTGCATAAAGGGAAACAATTGTCGTAATCCACATAGCAGGGAGCCGACACAGGAGGCCACGGGATATCGCCAAGACACACCCACCCGACGATATCCTAAATGATAGCAGTGAGTCTACTCATCCTGAAAATGTAGTACCAATAAACACTGCTCCAATAGTAGCAGATGTCCACGAGGTGAATGGCAGAAAGCCACCACAGTGGAAGGCATGTCAATGGAAAATGCGGGCAAATGGGTTAAAGAAACTTGCTCAGAAATTGTCAGGTGGTCGCCAGCTAACCTGTTTGAACCACCCAAGTGATCAGCCACCAAAGGAATGATTTGGGAGATGACTCGCCTCATAACTGAGTACACTCAGGACTGCTTCCTTGCCCCTTTAGCTCTTCAGATACTAGCAATAATACCCCCATCTATTCTGTCAGAGGACACACAAGGACTAAGCACAGAAAATGTGGGCAGGAATGAAGGGAAGATTGACAATGTGGCAGAATGGGGCCCTTGATCTCCTATGTGAAGCAAGAACACTGCAGGAGAGACTTAAAATTTATAGGAGACGGAAAGCAAAACACCGATGATGTTGCAAGAAAGTTTGGAGACAAAATGTTTATGGGGAAAGTGTCTTTGGAAGTCAGATCTCTCACAGAGGAATCCTCTGGTGGTGGTCTGCCAATAAACAGAGAGACATTATAACAACTGAAGGAAATACATCCCCCGGCAAGTGAAAATGAAGGCATCAGGTTCCAGGGTGACTATATCCCACCAAATGCTGTTCTGTTCGAGAAAATAACAGGAGGGATGATGTGGAAAAAAGAACTGAAAACACAGGGAGGGGCCGGCCCTTCAGGCCTGGATGCAAACGGTTGGAGAGTCATCCTCGGCACTAACAAGTTTGGCCCCGTAGCAAGTGATCTCTGCACTGCCATTGCTGCCCTTGCAAGAAAGCTAGCAACCTCGTGCTGCCACCACCTCCATGCTCTGACGGTCTGCCGCCTCATTCCCCTGGATAAAAATCCAGGATGTAGGCCTATAGGGGTGGGAGAAGTGCCGAGGTGGATCATCGGAAAATGCATAATGGAGGTGGTAAAGGATGATGTCAGGGTAGTGGCAGGGAACCTGCAAGTTTGTGCTGGCCACCAGGCTGGAGGGGAAGCTGCCATTCACGCCATGAGAACAATATTTGAACAGCGTGATTGTGAGGCAGTTCTCCTGGTTGACGCTTCAAATGCATTCAACATACTTAACAGCAAGGCCACACTGTACAATATCAAGATCAAGTGTCCAAGCTTTGCAATGTATGTTGAAAACACCTATAGGAATCCATCAAAGCGCTATAAAGTAAACATCAAGGCTCTAAGATGTGATACCATCATACAGTCAACCGAGGGAACAACGCAGGGGGACCCTGTTGCAATGGCAATGTATGCAATAGGCCTTTCCCTGCTCCAACACACAATAAAATTTGAAACAACTGAGGTCAAGCAAGTGGTGTATGCTGACGACCTTACAGGAGCAGGAAAAGTGGAGGACATCAAAAAGTGGTGGGACCCTGATAACATCATATGGTCCACAAATAGGGTACCACCCAAATGCCAGCAAATCCTTCCTCATTGTGAAACCAAAACATTATGAACGGGCAATGGAGGTGTTTGGTGGAAGTGAGGTTAAAATAACAAAGGATGGCCAAAGACACCTAGGCGCAGTAATCGGCACGACGGACATCAAGACCGAGTATGTAACGGGAAAGGTGAATGAGTGGGTTAGGGAAATCCATGCTCTGTCTGATATTACTAACACAGAGCCACATGGGGCTTTTGCGGCATTCACCCATAAAGTCCAGCATCGCTGGAACTACCTGATGCGCACTATCCCTGATATCGGACCCCTCCTCCACCCTCTGGAAGAAGCTATCGGCGTCAATTTCATTCCCAAATTAGTGAAACATCTTCACTTAACCCCAGCAGAAAGATCACTCCTTGCACTACCACCGAGACTGGGAGGAATGAGATTGACCAATTGCTGCCATTGAACATCAAAACTCAGTTAAGCTCACGGTAGCCCTCACTGACCACATAATAGCTCGGAACTCAACAGGCGAGGTGGATACCAGTGAAGTAAACAAGATTCGACTATCCATTACAACAGAACGACAGCACAGCCAAAATGATAAGTTGCAGCAACTAATGCTGCAAGTATCAGAGAATTAAAAAAAAGTAGCTATAGTGGTCGCCTCGAACTGGTTAACTACGTTATCGATAGGGGCAAAGGTTTCAGTCTCAATAAACAAGAATTTACAGATGCCAATGCTCTAAGGTAAGGTAGGCCAGTAAATCACGCCATAGTGTGCAAGAAAAGGGGCTTCATATGCATGAGGCATGATGAAGTAAGGGATCTCACAGCAAATATGTTGAAGGAAATCTGTCGTGATGCCAGGGTAGAACCGACTGTCCTTCCATTGGACGGTGAGAATTTCCAACATAGGACTTCAAACACATCCAACGAAGCCCGTGTTGATGTCAGTGCTCGAGGATTCTGGATGCGGGGACAGTGAGCCTTCTTCGACATCAGGATTTTTTATCCCATGGCCGCATGTCATCGTAACTTAGTTCTCGATGCTGCACACAGGAGGAACGAGAACGACAAAATAAGGGCATATGGGGAGAGAATTCAAAACGTTGATCAAGGCAGCTTCGCTCCTCTGGTCTTCACAACTTCTGGTGGGATGGGACCAAGTGCAAGATGCTTCTACGCCAGACTCGCGGAGCTGCTATCCGAACAGAACCAGCAGGCCAGAAGCTATGTTACAGCCTGGGTGAAATATCGACTGTCCTTCTCTCTCCTTAGGTCTGCTTTGCCCTGCCTCAGGGGAACGAGAGCATCGGCCCCAAAGCAGTTGCAGATATTGACTATAAGGCAACAATCACTGAATGGCGTATAGATCTGCGGCTCAACTAACCCAACACAGCTAGGATAACTACTTATGTATTAGGATAGTTAATTTTAAGGTAATAAAATGGCGGCGAAGGTGTGGCTATTGGGGGAGACTGGAGACCAATTTAAAATATAAAATATAATTATTAGTACTTGTAGTAGTAGTACAGTAATACAGTACAGTACTGGGTACTTGTAGTAGTGGGAGTAGTAGTAATAGTGCCTATACTAGTATTAGTACTTGTAGTAGTAGTAGGACTTTCAACACATATAACGAACCCTGTGTGGATGTCAGCGCTCGAGGATTATGGACGTGGGGACAGCGAGCCTTCTTTGATGTCAGGATATTCGACCCCATGGCTGCATGTCACCGTAACTTATCTCTTGAGGCTGCACACAAAAGAAACAAGAAGACAAGATTAGGGCATATGCGGAGAGAATTTAGAATGTGGATCAGGGCATCTTCATTCCTCTGGTGTTCACAACTTCTGGCAGGATGTGACCAATTGCAAGATGTTTCTACACAAGACTGGCAGAGGTGTTGTTTGGGCAGAAGCAGCAGCCCAGAAGCCACGTTGCAGCCGGGTTGAGATGTTGACTGTCCTTTTCTCTGCTTAAATCTGCATTGCTTTGCCTCACCTCAGGGGAATGAGATTGTCGGCCCCAAAGCCGACAACGGTTGCAGATATTGACCATGAGGCAACAGTCACTGAATGCTGCATAGATCTGCGGCTCAACTAACTCAACACAGCTAGGGTAGCTACTTATGTATTAGGATATTTAATTTTAAGGTAATAAAATGACAGCAAAGGTGTGGCTATTGGCGGAGGCTGGAGGCCACGTTAAAAAAAGTAGTATAAGTACTATTAAAAGTACTACTACCACTACTACTACAAACACTATTGCTACTTGTTTTATGGCCTCCAACCTCCCCTTGTAGCCGTAGTACTTTTTTACTTCTATCCTCTTCACCACTGATCGACTCGTTAGCCGCCTGGGCGATTGGTCATGTCTCTGTTACTTTTCTTTTTCTTTCATCCTCTTCACCAAATGATCGGCTCCTTAGCCACTTGGGCGATCGGTCACGTCTCTGTTACGCACTGTTGGCAAGTA